AAAAAAAAAAAAAAAAATAGATGGGTATTATGGCAGGCATCTGTAATCCCAGCTACTTGAGAGGCTGAGGCAAAAGAATCGCGTAAGCCCAAGAATTGAAGGTTGCTGTGAGCTGTGATGCTACAGCACTCTACTGAGGGCCACATAGTGAGACTTTGTTTCAAAAAGAAAGAAAGAAAGTGTCTTTTGGCCCTTGTAGGCTATTCCTTTTAACATAAGGGAATGTGTTTGCATTTGGCCAGCATGTCTCCATCTTTATTTTTATTTTTGGTATTTTTGTAACTAAGTATAGCATCTTGATTTTTCATTGGGTTTTGTTTATAAAGGACTGATATTTTAAATTGTCAGAGTAATGTGTAATTTTATATCTGTTTTCTAGAATAATAAAAACCTTACTCGTTTAGCATTCTCTGCATATCTGAGTACATGATCAGTTCTTTCCATTAGATCATCCTAAGAATATTGAATGACACGAAATGCAAGGCCATTAATGACTGCCCTTTGGGTGTCACTTTCAAACCATTTGTATTTTAACAAGACCATACTTTCCCAGTTTGTAATTGAGAACATAATGTAAGATAGAATAAAATAACTCATCGAAAGCAAGAGAGAGCCTGTGGTAACTGGATCAATCTTTACACACACATACACACCCTAACTAAATATATATATTAATCTGGTGACATTTACTCTACTTTGTGCCTGGCACTATTATATCATTTTCTTTTTATCTGTGTACCCGCTTATTTATGAAAAGAACTAAGTGGATCTAACATTATTTGTTCAGTGGAAAACTAGAGTGGTTGCTTCATGGTATTTAATATTCTTGCAAGCAGTTAGAGCATTTGATATAGTATTTTTCTAGGTGTTGATGTTAAACTGATGAGTTGCTCATTTCTGAGTATATTCTTTTTTAAAGATAGATAAATGATCTATGAGGAAATAACTGGCAGGAATCTATTTAGTGCCTTGTGTGTACCCACTACTTGGTATTGTCCTTGACAATCTGGAAGCAGTGAGACAAAAATGATAAATAAGTTATATGCTTTCTCAGTCTGGGGGATAAAAAAACACATTGACAGTTAAAATATGACATAGTATTTAGGGAAGTTTTAAATTATGAGACAGGAATGTATATTAAAACTAATAGGGGCTCGGCGCCTATAGCTCAACCAGCTAAGGCGCCAGCCACATACACCTAAGGTGGCGGGTTCGAATCC